CACGCTCATGTCGGGCGTGTCCCCCTACAGGGGGATTTTCGACGGAAAATGAAAAATATTCAAAAAATACCCCAAGAAGGTCCAAAAATACTCCAAAAATAGTCCCCAGACTATTTTTGGACTATGTTTTGATTATGTTTGGGGTATTTTCTATTCCTCGTCGAAAATCCCCCTGGAGGGGGACAGGCCCGACTTAAACGCACGCCCTCGCAGCACCCCAGGCCCCCCCCCCCCGACGCATCGACTGCGAGCCCCCCACGGGGAGGCTGTGGGCGCCCCTGCGCGGGGGGGGGCGCTCCCCCGCGGGAAGGGCGCAGGCCTGGGGCCGCGCAGGCGTGTGGGTTGGGCGTGATCTTTCCAACGCCGCCACCACAAGCAGAAGGTGGAGGGGTCCTCTCCTCCTCCTCCTCCTCCTCTCCTCCTCCCTCCTCATCCTCCTCCTCCTTTCCTCTCCCCTCCTCCCCCCTACCCTCCTCCATCCTCCTCCTCCTCCTCTCCTCTCCTCCTCCTCCTCCTCCCCTCCTCCTCCTCCTCTCTCCTCCTCCTCCCCCTCTCCTTCCTCCTTCTCCTCTCCTCTCTCCCATCCCCTCCTCCTCCCTCCTCCTCCTCCTCCTCCTCCTCCTCTCCTCCCCTCCCCTCCTCCTCCCCTCCTCCCCTCCCTCTCCTCTTCCTCCTTCGCCTCCTCCTCCTCCTCCCCTCCCCCTCCTCCTCCCCTCCTCCTCCTCCCTCCTCTCTCTCCCCTCTCCTTCTCCTGCCCTCCTCGTCCCTCCTCCCATCCTCTCTCTCCTCCTCTTCCTCCTCCTCCCCCCTACTCCTCACTCCCCTCCTCCCCTCCTCCCCTCCCTCCTCCTCCTCTTCCTCCCCCTCCTCCTTCCTCATTCATCATCTCCCTCCCCCTCCTCCCCCCCTCCTCCTCTCCTTCGCCTCCTCCTCCCCTTCGCCTCCTCCTCCCCTCCCCGCCTCCCCTCTTCCTCCTCCTCCTCCTCCCTTCCTCCTCCCCTTCTCCTCCTCCTCCTCTCACTCCTCTCCTCCTTCTTCTTCTCCCCCTCCCCTCCTCTTCTCCTTATCCTCCTCCTCCTCCTCCTCCTCCTCTCCTCCTCCTCCTCCTCCTCCCCCCCCCCCCCCTCCTCTCTGCTCCTCTCCTCTCCTCCTCCTCTCCTCCTCCTCCCCTCCTCCCCCTCCTCCCCCCTCCTCCTCCTCATCCTCCCCTCCTCCTCTCTTCCTCCTCTCTCTCATCCTTCCTCTCCTCCTCCCCCTCCTCCTCCTCCACCCCTCCTCCTCCTCCTCCTCCTCTCCTCCTCCTCCTCCTCATCCTCCTCCTCTCCTCCCCTCGCCTCCTCCTCCTCCTTCGCCTCCTCCTCCTCCTCCTCCTCCACAGCTTTCACCCCTCCAACTCATCGTGGTGGTGGAAGACAGGCCCATCAGCGCAGGCGTGGGCTCGCGCCTCGCGCATGGTTGTGGACCCAGCGGCCCTGGCGGCAACTCCTGGGAGCCTCACGTAGCGTCTTGCCGGCTCTTGCGAATCGACGCTCGTCGACGCTCATCCACACTGAATCGACGTTACATCGACGCTAACCAGCGCTAATTCGGCGCTCTCTCATCGACTGCCAGAGGCTCATCGGCGCTAACGGACGCTAAAGACGGAACTGCGAGGGTATGCAACGCTCCAATGGTTTGCTACCGAAAGAGGTACTCCGATGGGATTTGTTGAAATCTGCGGCACCAGAGATCCCGACCCCTCCCCTGGGAACCTCTGCGTCCCGAAGCTGTGTTTGATGGCCCTGGTGCCCAATAGAGGCCCCTGGAGGCGGAAATAAAAGAAGAACGCCCGCGATTGAAGAATCGTCGCAGGTCTGAGGAAACTATAAAGAAGGAAACGCACAAACATATACCCGTCGGTCGGAAAAGGTTGGTAAAAAGATTAAGCAGGAAGGCGCTGGAAGCAGATTGGGCTTCCGCCCGCCCGCTGAAGCGGAGGGAGGAGGGACAACTGCCCGACTCTTGAAGTAGGAAGGCGCTTGGAGTGTATTGGGACTTGGGCTTCCCAACACACTTCCTTTCAAATGGGCCGCGATGAGTTGGGAAGGAGTAGTGGGGTGCAGCAAGTGCTGCCGAAAAGGGACCGCTTAAAGCCACTAAAAGGGGCCCTTTAGGGCCCCCAAAGAGGCCCTAGAGGGCCCCTCTAAGAGAGCGACAAACAGGGGAGCTCTAAAGGGCCCCTGCAGGAGCCCTCTAGAGCGCCCCCCCATGCTGATCGCCCCCCCATCAAAAAATCGCGTCCAAGACTCGAGCGGATTTGTGGGATGTGCGCTGGACCCCCCTCCCTGGCGCGCGGAGCGCGCCAGGGGCGGCGCCGGAGGCGCCGAGAGGGGGGCACCAGCGCCGATCCAAGAGATCCGCGCGGAGCGCCAGAAGTTCTTGTCTGTGGCGTTCTCCTTCCTCAGGACATATATGTGCTCTCAACGGCCGACCCGCACCTGCGAGCCCCGTGCAGCTTCCGGGGGTCGGGGCGCCAGGGGCGCCCCCCCCCAACCCCTCCCCCCTGGCGCGCGGAGACCGCGCGCCCAGGGAGAGGGGGAAGCGCGCGGCACGCGGCCACCGGCGTGAGGTGGCGCACGCGGCGCGCGCCCGAGAGGTCTCCGCGCAGATCTCCGGCGTGTGTGCGCGTGTGCGTGCTCTCGTGTGAGAGGAAGCCAGGACGTCCCAGGGGGTCCTTTCCCTCCTCCTTCTCCTCCTCCTCCTCCTCCTCCTTATCTCCGCCTCCTCCTCTTCCTCCTCCTTCTCCTCCTCCTCCCCCTCCTGGTCGTCGTCGACGTCTTTCAGGGTCGGCGGCAACGGCCGTCAGGGCTTCACGATATGTATGTGCGTGCTCGTTTGTGTGAGAGGAAGCCAGGGCGAGGATAACATCGGGGGAGGATCGATCGAGAATCCCTGACATCAAACGACTAGCATTCGAGGCTTATTTCGGGGGTTCATCGAGGATGTTAATCGAGGATAATTCAAGAATCTCAATGGAGGATTATGTCGGTGGTGGATAGAGAATCTCTGAGATCTGGCGGCTCTGGAGGACGTCTCGGGCGCCACGGCCTTATCAGAGCGTTCCAGAACGCTCCGAGAGCGTTCGGAACGCTCTGGAACGGAGTTATCCTGGTCCAAACCCCGACCGAGTGTCTCCTTCTAGATATACGTCGGTCGGACGGAGTGAGTCAGAACTTGAAGCAGGAAGCGGTACATATATATATATATATATATATATATATTAGTTCATGCCCTCCCAGATAATAAAATAACACATCGAAGCCATGCCGATTCTTGGAGTAGGAAGGGGCATGAAGTAGACTGGGACGTGGGAGTCCCAAAAACATACTCTCGACGACCGCCGAGTCTGTCTGTGCTCTTGTGTCTTCTTCGAGATAACCTGACAGCCGGCGTCGCGAAAAAAGCAAAGCACCGTGACCAATCACCACTGGAGCCCAAGAGCCAGAGACCCTATCTTCCTGTGGCATGTTTCAAGCCAGATCGATGTTTGGTCCCTGGGCCAAAATACCAGCGAAAACGCCCGCCTTGAATACACAAAATGCGACACCCTGAGCCGATGTCTTGATTGTTTCCATACGGGGTCCTACCGGGGAACATATCTATCGTGCTCAATCGATTATGTTACAGTTCCGTGGCCCGGCGAGGGCCCCCAGAGGCCAAACGCAGCAAAGAGCAACCTCCGTCCTCATGTTTTGATACGTTGGGAGATTTCAGTCGGCGACTCCGACGGGTGTGGCTTGCGAAAAGTGTGATTTGTAACAGGCATCCTGGGGGGCAACCTGTGAGGCGGGCGAGGACCTCGACGGAGCTCTCCGCCGCGCCCCGAGGAGGCCCGACGAGGACAGCGTCGTGCTTCCCAGGCCCCAACGGTGGAGATCGCAAACCACACCCTGGCGTAACCAAACCCTCTGTAGTCGCCAACTTCTTGCCATCGCTCGGACGTCCCTTCCCCGTGCCTGTTTTTTGACTCGGTGCCTGCACTTCCGCAGGAGGCCCGCCCTCGCCGAAAAACTGCGCACGTCCGACGGGAAACCAAGAAGTACCGGAACCGCTGCCCCCCTGGACCGCTCCTGGGGTGCGTTCTGACCAGAATTTCAAGGCGAATCCTGCGGTGGCGACGAGGGCCGCCCAGGAGACCCAGAAAGGGGAAAATGGGCGTGAAGGGTACAGGTATGGGTGCCTTTTCCTAATCTGAGTCCGAGCGATGCCAAGACTGAAAGTACGTTCGTCGCCCGAGGGCGCCAGCCAGGGCCGTTGGGACGAGGCCCTGTCTTTCCCAGGATGCCCCATATTTTCCCCATAGCTTCTGGGTTTTAGTTTTCCCGCCAACTTCCCATATTTCCCTTGGAGTCGGCGATTCATTGTGTCTGTGTCTGAGACCAAAAGTTCGGTGGCGGCAAAAAGGGGGGCGTCCAAAAGGGAGGGGCGCAAATCATGGCCGGCGGCATTTGCGCGGCTGGGGGGGGGTCAGGGACGCAATGAAATGAGATCAGGCGCCACGAAATGTGAGGAACGATCATGGCCCCCGCCATGATATCCCCCCCCTAGTCTTAGGTCGGGCGTGTCACCCTACATTCGGATTTTGGACGAAAAATTAAGAATACCCAGAAACGGGGAAAAAAGCCCAACATGCTCAAAAAATCGTCCCCCGACTATGTTGTTACTACTTTTGCATCTTCCTCTTGTAGAGGGACATGCCAGACTTCACCTTAGACGTCACCCCCGTCTGCCGCCCCCGCTAATTGAGGCCTCCTAGATGGGGTCGAAGTGGATGGGGTCGGAAGATCTCGCCGAATCGTCGATACATCGGCGATACATCGACGTCGTCGATGCATCGGCGACGTCGACGTGAAGCTAATCGGGCCGCTCATCGAGCCGCATCGGCGATGCATCAGCGATGCGGCGCGATCCTCCGACCCCAGTTACTCCGACCCCGTTCGGGAGGCCCAGAATACAGGTGCGTTCGTCGCCCGTGAGCGCCAGCCAGGGCCGCCGGGACGAGGCAGGCAGCGAGCGCCGCGGCACGGGCGCCCATCGCACCCACCGCGAGGTGCGGGCGCGCTCAAGGGAGCCGCTCAACTCGGGCGGGGTCGCGCGCGGCGGCCACGGGGGCCTCGCAGCCACGTCGGCCGGGCAAGCCCGAGGCCCAGGGCAGCCTCGCGTCGTGACCTCTGTCGACGGCTCTCGGAGGCGGCGCGCCCGGGGGGAAGCGATCGGAGAGGCGGGCATTCCCGAAAGGCTCGGACGTCCCCCGGCCTGCTGAGAAGTTTCCCGAGCCTTCCCCGAGGACACAGAACGCTTCCTTCGGGGATGGACAGACCCCCCTTTAGTAAAACGTGGTTTAGTGAAAACGACCTGAGGCCCAAACCTGGCGGGCGCAAGCCTGGAAAATAACGACCACGGCGCCCTCTCGAGAGCCGAAAACGGACAATTCACTAATCGACGTGTCACTGTTGGGGGTTCTGTCCACCCCCGATTCTCAGAAGGCGCGAAGGCTTCTGAGAAGTCCCGCCGCCTTCTGAGAAGCCCTGCTGCTTCTCCTTTCCCCCCCTCGCTCGCCGCCGATCTCGGCGACGAAGAATGCCATGCGGGCCTCGCGCGGCAACTTGAGGCCCAGCTTGCGACGGATCTGCGCCGGATGTACAATCGGCCCGTATCACAAGGATGCGCGATGAGGATGCAAGGGCCTTGGACGCCCACTCCTCAGCTTTTCGAGCGGGGCGCGGCCAACGAGAGTGGCCAAGGATGATCCGAGGAGGCACGGATGCAAGGGTACCCCTGGGAAGGTTGCCCATCCTCACCATGAGGGTGGTCTGTACGTCGCAATCACGTCGGACTACGTCGCATGTACGTCGGACTTACGTCGGACTTTGGCCGCATCGCCGCGCAAACGTCGACCATGTCTTACGGAACGGACGTGTGATCTAGATAGTGCAACCATTGCGCGCCGCACGAGGCCTCAACCATTTCCCTGATAGGGCTACGGTAGGTTCGCAGGGCGACGGCGCGCGCAAATTTTGACGGATCGTCGATCGTTCAATGCGGAATCGGTCGGAACTCTGATCGTTCGAAGATGACTTCCGCTGGGCCCGCTTCCGCGTCGCAAGCTTCCACCTTGAGCGCCTTCGCGGGCGTCGCCGGCGCGCAGACGCCACATGAACGTACTGAAGGACGAGTGAAAGGCATTTGTGTAATCATCGAACCCCTGAAGAGCATGACTGCCCGTGCTGGACATACGTTGACAACTCTCTGTCGCTATAGTGTCCTCTTCGAGCGACGGCTACATCACAGAACGGGGGGGGTCTAGGATTGGGCATGCCATTCCTTGACATAAACCTTGCCATGATGCGTGGCCACCGCGATCGCCGCGGCGGCCTCCAACACCGACCCGGACGCTTGTTTCGGGATCGGATATCAAGCAACGAAGACTGGCTCAGGATACGCTCCGAGATTCCAAGAATAGCTGGCGGCCCTCGTTTCCAGAGCCCCTGCGGATCACTAGGACATCTGGGGGATCAGGGAAGCACTGGGACGCATCATTATCGTGCCTTCTTGCTCCTCTGATCCAAGCTTCCTGGACATCTTCGACTCGGACTAGATGTTCACATTTGAAGGGGCCCTGGGACACGCAAATAAATACACACAAATAACAGGATTCCCTATATTCTCCAATATTTTCTGGATTTTTGTCTTCCCCCCACTTCCCATATTTTCCCATATTTTCCTGGGAGTCGACGATTAATTGTGTCTGTGTTTCGTTCCCTCCTGAACATTATCTGGAAGGCGTTTCTGTTGAGACCCTGGCAAGTTTGAGGGGCAGCGCTTTCTGGGCGCCGCCGGCGCCTCGGCGCCTGCGGGCACCCCCACCTCGCCCGAATCGTGCTCCTCGTCACCCTGCTGATGGTGCTCCTCCTCCCGTGACGAACGAACAACAAGCATCCATACAATTCCTCCTCCTCCCATGGCGAACAAGCAACAGGCAGTCAAAACGCGTATCAAGGACGGGAGATAAGGACGCAAGACCCACGGAGGCCCAAGTTGAGTTTTCTGCGGGGCGGCGGGCGACTAATGAGAACGGCAAAACTGACGGGGCGCAGAGGCAAGGACACAAGGGCACCCTTCATGAAGGCGCGCGTCCTTACAAGGCGCTTTGACTGTATCCGTAAAGGGACGGAAGGGACTATTGGTGCGTGTTGTCGGATGTGGGTCCCCGCTCGAACGGGAGCCTCCCCCTGGGTCCGACAACCCGCATCCATCTCCACAGGCAGTCCTCCTCCCTCCGACCGCCCAATGAGCCCTGCAAGTATGGGTGTGTTGTTCGCTCGTCGTCTCACCCCTCCAACTCGTCCCTCCCTTCGTCCATCTCCCGTGGAGGAAGAAACATAGGCATAAACCGTAATGGACCCCGGAAACGGCAGAGCCGTTGTTTCACCGTTTCCAACATGTCCCTTGAAAATGGAAACGGCAAAAAACCGGCGACCGGAAACGGCAACAAAAACGGCTCCAGGAGTGGAAGCGGAGCGGGAACCCGCAAAAGAAAGGCGACGGAAGCGGTAAAGAAACGGCGTCGGAACCGGATACAAAAGAGGCGAAACGGGACCGGAAAAAAAAGCGGCCCTGTCGTTTCCAGGGCCCACTAAGGCATAAACACAAGATTTCGAAGGTCGGCACGGGCTTCTTGGGTCGGCGCTGGATCCCCTATCCGCAGCTCGCAGGGCGCGCCGGGGACAGTGCCGGAGGCGCCGCCAGGGGGGGCACAGCGCAGGTCCATGAGATCCGCGTGGAGCTCGGACAATATGTACGTTAATGCAGCTGCTTCGTCTCCGATCCTCGCTGGGCGGACGGGGAGGAAGGAGGGCCGAGGCGGATGAGAACTGCGGGTGCTCGGGGCACCTCCAGACTAAAAGCAGCACGAGGATCAGGACGCCGAGCACGATGACCTCCTCGACGCCTGGAGGTGTGCAGGAGGGGCAGGAGTACCACGACGAGGACGAGGAAGAGAGGAGGAAGACGGGGGGAAGACAAGCTTTGTGCGCTCGCACGATTAGAAACAGAAACAACGCCATGAACAGAAACTTTTGGTGGCGCTCCGCGCGGATTTCTTGGATGCGTGCTGGGCCCGCCTCCCCGGCGCGCGGAGCGCGCCAGGGGCGGCGCCGGAGGCGCCGCTGGGGGGGCCCAGCGTGGGTTCAAGAAATCCGCGCGCCGCTCCAAAAATCTATGTTTATGGCGTTTCTTCTTCGAAACCCTCCCACCCATCCTTTTCCGTATCGCATCTGCCCACCAAGGCGCCCTGGAGGACCCGGATCTCCACCATGACACGATCGTGCGATGCACAAGTAGAGGGAGGGCTGCGTATATTGGAGGGGAATTGGTGGATGAGCATGAGGGGCGAGTAGGAAGAAGGAGAGAGAGAGAGAGAGAGAGAGAAAGAGGGAGCTGCATCAACAGGAGCAGGAGAAACAGGAGGCATGAAGACCAGGGGAAGGGGGAAGAGGGGAAAAATGACAACGACCAGGAAGGAAACAGTTATGTGACCAACGCTGAGGCCAGAGCGCCAGCTTGAAGTCAGACAAACAACCAAACACAAAATACATTGCACCACTGCGGCAGAAAACCCAGAACAGCAGACACGGAGGTGCTTCGAGTGACGGCATGATGAAAAAAACAACGATCTAGTCGAACCGAAACTTATGAAACCCTGCGCAAAAGGAAGACGCGGGAGAGACGCACTAGCACAAAAAACGGCACGATCGATCAACACCGAATAGGGAAATCAGATCAAGTCAGCATGTGTGCTGATCCAAAAAGAAAATTGACAACATAACGATATCGAATCGGATTGGCTGCGTCCAGATACGCAACTGTGCGGCGCCGGCACCCAACGGCATCGCATCGCAAAGACATCGATATCAAATCGCATCGAGCAGAGTAACCTCTGCATCGAAGCGGATCAGTCGACTCGAGAGTGGGGACCGCGTGAATCATGAAAGGGTAAAGCTTAGGTCGGGAATGTCCTCCGGCAGGCGGATCTGATGAGAAACGAACAAAAATAGTCAACACAGAAAATCAAAAACGAATAAACAATCGGCACCCGACTATATTGAGTACCGTCCTTGGATAATCCCCCTATGGAGGGTCATGCCTCATGCCTGACTTATGGTTAGACCTACGCCCTATCGCCACCAGGAGAACCGTGGCCCCGCTGTTTCGAGCATCACACGATCTCATCCCCTCCCCAGTCCACCAGCTCCACCTCGCCCTCAGTAGACAAGCGCGCTCCACTACTCGCAAAGGTAACTACTCGCAAGTGGCCTGGATCTGCCGAGGGGGATCGCCATCCATTGCATCGAGGCAGGCGTTTGTGCTTCGGACGTTTGCGAGTAGTCAATTTGCGAGTGGTGGAACGCGCTCGGTGACTCAGGGAGAAGCCGAGTCTTGGCACGCCCGTCAAGAGGCGAGGAGGCATGGCAGAACAGACCAGCTTGCCGGGAAGAGGGACGTTAGTCGGCCAACCCCCATGGCCTGAGGCTTCTGCGCGGACGAGGGTGGGGAAGTGGGGACGCGTGAAGCCGGCGTCGAACCGACGCAGCGAATGCAGTGCAGTCCACAACAATGTAGCCTGGGCGGTCACGACCGAGCAAACAATACTGCGAGCGCGATCGTTCATGACGGCGGCCACGTCGGTCATCACGGTGGCCATGAAGTAGACGGCGTGGCGACCGTGGAGGTTGGACCACACTGCCGAGCAACGTGATGGGCGCCACCCCGCAGCACTTGCGAGGCGCAACGAAGCCCCACGGGACGATAATGAACGGCCCGACTCCAACGCAGCAGGCCTGAAAGTGCGAGGAGCCCCAAGTGAGACGAAAACCAATTGGGTTCTGGCGCGTCGAACCTCATGAGAAGACAACGACCATACCCCAGCGTACCAATCCCGCTCCTTAACCGAAAGACAAACTGGGAAGCGAAGGGCATGGAATGTGACAAAATTACGAACGACTGCGAAAACAACACATGTAAAATCATGATGCCTGCGACTGCGAGGACGAGCATGATGCAATCGACGCTGAGTTCTGCTTCGCGTCAGCGCCCCCAGCTCGAATAATGTATTATGCGAGTCCGCGGGCTGGTGGTCACGAGCTCAAGCATCGATCATGCCGCGTGCGCAAACATTGGGCGACACTGCATGCGCGAACAACGCCCTAATTGAACCAAACCTCCCTGAACGTCGGCGTCAAGAGCCGCCTTCATAAAACGGCCCCCCTGCCTCCCCCCAAAGCGCCTTAAAAACTTGAACCAGGAAGTGAATGTTAAGGGATGTGGAGTACCACCCGCCCGAGCCTTCACCTTGCCATCGCTAGGACGTCCATTCCACTTGCAGTGTTCGACTTCGTGCGTATGTTTTGATTGCAAGCAGCTCCAGATCCTCCTCGATGGCCCTCGCAAAAGAAAAATGCACACGTCCGAGCCTTCACCACTACCTTTCATAATTACCTTCCGACCTCCGCGTAAGGTGCGGAATAATGAATCACAACTAATGGAAACAATACATAGTTCAAGGAAGCCAACGTAGACCACATCGTAGAAAAGCGGAAGGTTAGGGCGGAAGGGGCCGGAATAATGAGG